AGCAGTGTCTTTGTTAGGCAGTGACTGCTGAAAGGACCACTGCCCCCCTGCGGTAAAACAAATGCAAAAGCATCCCTATGACTCCAAGGGTGACACACACACAAGATCACACAAACACACAATAAGAATCCACAAAGCAGCTTGCCACTCGAAGAGGCGTCAGATGAAAGCAGCGGGGTTCAACCACCAAGTTCTTGCAGTTCAAGGTAGTTCAAACAGTTTAAAGGCTCCAAACTCATGTAGTTCAAGAAGTCTAAAGGCTCCAAGCCGTGAGATCAAACCGGCAATGGAAATCTTCGAGAACACAGCGCGTTCAACAATACCGTAAGCAAGGTGATCACTTCAAGAAGCACTAACAACAGCGTATTCAACAAGACGGTGATTCCGAGATTTGCGGGGGCGTCCAGAACTGATATACCCACCCTGTATTCTTGCCATCGACCTTGATGGAGAAACAGTACACGTGTCTCCATCCCCCTGCTGAAAGCAACAGAAAGGAAAGAATGACGAAAGGCTCTTTGTGAATCCATGGGTTCCACATACATAGACACACGAAGATGTATGGCCAGGCGCCAGCCGCCTCTCGTTCTCGTGGTGAGCTGAGCACCATGCACGCAGCCGGCGAGTACACGGGCTTCGTGCCAGATATGCAGTTCCTTGGTTTCCAAGTTTCCAAGGCATTCAGTATTGCACCGACCATCATCACACAGGCGTGACACAACACCTTGGCAAAAACACCGACAAACCCAATGTTTTTGCAACAATCCACATGCAGTATATCGACTGCAACTCTGCTCTATCATCCAATCTTTTTGGAAGGACGACTCCAAACTATCAGTGGTGGGGACAACCTTTCAGGCGTGAAGCAGACCTCCTGTTGGAAAACCTATAAGTCTAGGAAACCTATCCTTGGTTTCTCCAAAAAACACTCACGAAGGATCCCATGAGGAACATCCAGGGATTGAACTCGACCACTCGTGCATGCACTACGGGAGTCAGCAAGTTCAAAATAGTTGGCTCCCCGAGCCAAAGTTTAGCAACCAAATGCTCGATAGATGTATGAGATCCAGAGTACCATAGAGCACTTAGGATCCACAATAACCCTCAAAGACCAAGAGATCAAAGCAGTCACTGCACATGGTGTTAAAGCCACGTATTTGTGTTGCCTGTGGGATTCATAGGATTGAAGTTCGACTTTGCGACGTGGGTTGTTTGCTTTGTTGCGCAAGAGTTTGTAGTCTGATAATATTCGATTGCGGAATGCTTGTACATGCCTTCTGCACTGCACACTGGCAATGTTTGACCAGTCACTAGTGTTCAGGGAGCTTGTGGGCAAATGAGGCGCCGACAGCTCATGAACTTTGTGCTGGTGACCACAGCTGGCATCCCCGTCCTGGTGGCCTTGGGCTGCTACCTTTGGTACTTCGTGCCTCCTGTGTCAGGTGGTGGCGGAGGAGCACAGCTTGCTGGAGACGTGGATGGCAATCCTGTCGCCCTGGAGTCTTGGGTGAAGAGCCACAAGGACAACGACCGTGAGCTGGTGCAGGGACTGAAGGGTGAGCCCTACTACCTCATCTCCACCCCAGACAACATCAAGGACTTTGCGCTTCTGTCCGTGTGCACTCACCTTGGCTGCGTGGTGCCTTGGAACAAGGCTGCCAACAAGTTCTGCTGCCCTTGCCACGGATCCCAGTACGATGAGAATGGCAAGGTTGTACGTGGCCCTGCTCCACTTTCCTTGGCTTTGGCTCACACCACTACCCTTAACGGCAACTTGGCATTGAGCCCTTGGACCGAGCAGGACTTCCGCACCGGCGAGGACCCTTGGTGGAAGTGAGCTGCGGGAGACGCTGACCTTTGGTAGACATTTCTCGCAGTAGGCAGTGCATGCGTAAGTGCAGCTTTGTGTCAGCTGGTTTTATCTCCAAACAGAACTTTATTTGACTGTACAACTGTCCCGTAGAGATACTGTAGGATTGCAATCCAATTCTGTTGTATGATTCTTGCTGATACTGTGCCTTCCGCCAAGAGAGCTACCAAACATTGCAAAAGGCCGCAAAAGCATGCAGGAACTTGAGTTGAGGGGGTTGCGTTGTGTGACCTTTGTCCTTTTGTTCGGAAACTTTTCTGCATACGAGCTCAGCAAGCAGACAGGCACCCACCGTTTGCTCCTAGGTGGGCCGGCCGCCGGCTTTGCCCACGTCAAGCCACGTGTTGGGTTTCCAGCTTGCCTTCTTGCGGCGTGAAGTGAAATGGCTTTGCGGACAAATTCTGACACCGTCCACCCTTCTTCGTGGGAAGTCGATTTTGGAGATATTGGCGAAGACATGACCATTGTGCGGCTCATGTACGTCTCTGTGTCTTGACACGTCAGCGATTGTATCTATTTACGATCCTTTAGGAGAGGAACTACGCAATTTGTTCGCGAAAGCTCAAATTCGGTGGGGAATGAGGTAGGTAGACAGCTCTATTCAGTTGTGGTCGATGCAGTGAGAAAAGGTGGTCACCAGCATAAACACAGACGCAGTGCACTTGGAGGCAAGGCAATTGGACCTTCGTCAGCTAATCCGTCCTAATACTATAGGTATATAACTATATAGTACAGATTTAGTACAACCAACCGTATAACACAATGTGACATAAGTTACAGTAAAATTAATATTATGTAATATTATATAGTACGATATAGTATAATATGATCTAACACAATGTGGTGCGCTCCCACCAAGCGCTGTGTCCAACAACCAAGGCTGAGTCAAGTCCGAGGATTGGGTATGCCTGTTTGGCTCACAGCCCGCTTCTTTCGAAGCTACGAATTTGACGACATGGAATGCGACGGCACGGATGACCCTGTGGCTTGGACCCCAGCGAAAGTTGGAAAGGACAACAACAACAGAGAAAAGGACTCTGCCAAATGCAAAAGCTGTGGAGTCCACTCGAGAAGCTGCTATGTTTTGTGTATGCTTTGCGCATGTAAAGAGCATTTCACTGCGAGGTTGACCCAAAGTCACTGCCGAAATGGAGCGCCTGCAGTACTTGGGGCCATTTACAGACACCCCACTAAGTGAGTTCGTAGTTGTGTGATTTCATCAACATCTGAACATAGCGATCTTCTTGAAATCAGGTTGCAGTTGGACAGAGTTCATCCACGCTAAATGGATTCAGTCACAATCTGCGTTGTGACAGCACCACTAGTGCAATATAATGTAGTCAGGGTTGGTTACGTCATGACTCATAATTAAGTCAGAAACGCTTGTGCTAGTCGAGCAGCATGTTGCTAGCTGGACGGTACTACGAGATGGAAGCCAGAGGAGCTATGTCCGCATGACCAGCAAGTGTACCAGCACATCCTCCCTGCTTCAAGCAAGGCAGGTTACGTCCGTTACATGTTGCACTCGCGGGTGTGAGAGTTCAGTCTCATCTGTGAGCACTCTTGCTGTGAGTGCTTAGAAACTGAAGCAGTTAGTTGCACTATGTTGCACGCGTTGCATGAAGGCCTTCCTGTGGTTGTTTGCAAGGGTTTGGATCTCAGCCCACTGCAAGTCCTTTCTCAATTACTGTACTTAGAAAGCTGAGTTGTTACAAATTAGGTGCAACGAGAACGCAATTTTGGGAACCCGCACTTTTTCGCACTTTTGAGATACCAGGGAATTGTTAGGTAGAGACGAATTACGATTCGTGGTGTTGCGTGTTGAAGCTTGGAGAGTGTGTGATCGTGCTTCCTCCTTCACAGCAAGCCCGAAAGGACCAAAGGCATTCCACTGAAGTGTGACAGTGCTTAGGATATGGTCGCGATTCTTTCAGAGCTCCACTGACGACGAGGCTGGAGCTTCTGCCTTGAGGCCAACCTAGAGCCACAACAGGAGAGGGAAACGCTTGTAACAGATGACGAAGCTAGCAGCTAGCATCGGTTAGTGCTGTGGTCGCTGACTGTGGGGGGCCAGCTTACACCCAACGGTACGGGGAATGAAACCTAAGCTCGCATGAAGTTGCTGTGCATTTCCAAGGGCTCTGCCCATAGCTCTGCATACATGTAACAAACCTCAACGGGATGGTCGGATGGTATAGATACCAAAACAAACAACACATCTGCTCTATTTGGCTTCTGTTTGCTTCAGCCAGCTTTCGCCCACCTCCCTGGTCTCAAGCCTGCATGCAAAACACATTTGCAGCTATATGGGATGGGTTGCCAAGTTGGCACAGGAACGCCAGCGGTTTGAGACCACTGTGGCGTTCTTGCGATCGGTGCGAGTGCTCGGAGGGGATTCACCCTGTGATAGGTCAATGATCTTTCAATTAATCAATCAATCAATCAATCTATCTATCTATCTATCTTATCTTATCTTATCTTATCCTAATCTTATCCTAATCTAATCTGATCTGATCTGATCTGATCTGATCTGATCTGATCTGATCTAATCTAATCTAATCTATCTATCTATCTATCTATCAGCCTTTTGCAGTTCGAAGGCCACGATGATATCTCCCGGCTGCCCATGACTTGGGGGCACTGCTGGCGGGTTTCCCAGCACCCTGTGTGCTGCCGGCTCCTGCCTGTGATCTTAAGGCTCCTGGTCTTTGCCTCTGCTGGGTGGTTGAGCTCCTCGACTGTACCCGGTCCCAATTCCGGGCTCACTTTCAAGCGCCTTGGTATGGATTGGCAGGTTTTGGAAAGTGAGAACGGGAAGGATTGGAAGACGGCCCAGCGTCTTCCTGGAAGGGACTGGGTTCCTTCGAAGTCGGGATGTGCTATGCCTGAATTTCTGGGCAAAGGGCTGAAAGGATCCCTCAGGATCACCCATGCCCAAAAAAGTAGCTTTAAAAGAGCTCAGAGACGCTTGGCACTACATGCCAAGGACTTGGTGAAGGCTGCGGATGGACATCGTCCCAAGTGGACCACCTTCGTCCATGAGGCCACTACAATGATTCACTCCATGCAGGTTCACAGTGTTCAGGAGTTGACAACCAAGATCTGTCACTTGAGTCACAAAGCCACTAACAGAACTATACCTACTATGCAAATGTGGCTGCAACCTGAATGCCAGTCTCTAGTGGCAAGGAAATGGAAGCACCTTTTCTGGGCACGTCGACGCAGTGGAGATCTTCGAGGACTCTTCGATCGATGGGCGCATTGGTCCAAGTATTATCGTTCACACAAACTTCTTCAACAACATTGTCAGAACAAACGAAGAGAGAGATTTCGGAGGATCACTCGGAATGCTGCCCGGGCTGCAGAGCAACGCAACTCCAAGGCCTTGTATGAGGCAGTTCGGGAATTGCCAACTCAGACGGTCTATTCGTTTTCGGGGCAATTTGGTCAAGTTCTGAGTCCCAGAACAAGAATTGGAAATGCTTGGTCATCATTTTCAGGAGATCTTTGGCAAAGAGGACAGTTTTTGTCCCATGCAGTGTGCACCCTGGATTCCAACAGAAGAAGACATTGCACGACAACTTCAAAAGACCAAACCGAGCAAAGCAGTTGCTCCAGGTACTCTCCCTGGCATCGTCATGCCTCTGGCAAGTGGCCTATTTACAGACACCATCCAGTTGGAAAGATGCTCACCTATCCCTACTTGCAAAGCCGAAAGTTGAGACTCCCAATGACTTGAGGCCTATTGCACTTACGTGTGGCCTTGGGAAGGCCATCTTGGGTGCTTACGTGCAGCAGGCGCGTGCCCACGTGCTACCAGTGATGCAGCAATATCCGATATCTGCATATCTTCCACACAGAGGGGTTCAAGAAGCTCTGTACATGGCACATTTCTTCTGTGATGAAGTGCGGGAACAATGTCTGATGCTGCGTCGAGGTCCTTGGCGCTCCTCCACTCAACGACAACAATGTGGTGGTGGCCTCATTCTCTCAATGGACTCGAAACAGGCCTACGACAGACTGCGAGGGCTTTCCAGACCGGACGAGACATCCTGAGACACTTGGCCAGATGCCACCATTCAATGTGGGATGCGTCCAAAACCAGGATGGCAGAGATTGTGGTGCGCATCAACACTACCAAGGCCTGTCTTGCCTGTGGAATGCCACAAGTGGCCACCCACAGCTGTCACGCAATCTGATTGACCGACACCTTCGGAAACCTGCTCAGTCTCTGAAGAGACCCAAGCGCGAGACAGACACGGCGTCAAGAGATACTTCAGACCAACTTCCAAAGATGGTCCAAGTTCTGGCCACGCTGGCCTTGCGGCGCGAAAGCCAGCTCCAAGCCATTGCTGTCCAGGACACCTTCATCCTGTTCCTTCAGCCTGGGACATCAAGCATCATCGAATCAGACCACGGTCACATGGAAACAGGAAGTGGAGCAAAAGAAGGCCACTCAGTGTTGATCACTATGATCACCCAGACGCTCCTGGACCGAATGCTCCTTCGACATCATCTGGAACTACCTGACCTGGAATCAGAAAGACCGCCAAGTTCAGGTGATGAACAAACCACCGACGAGTATGCAGAGTCTCCTCGAGGAACTGGAGCTGACAAGCGATGCCTCGGCAAGAGATTCAAGTTGGGCAGGCTCCGCCCTCACACTGTGAGGGAGAACCCCATCGCAGCCAGTTTGGCGAAGGGATGCTCTGGCCCATCAAGAAAGAGTGATGGGATGGCTCTCGAGTGTTCGGCTGAGCAATCAAGGCAATGACTGCTATCAGAATGCCGCCCTCACGGCCATGTTTTCGGCCTTGCTGCAACTTCAGGATACTTGGCATGATGTTGGAGATGGCGCTGAACGATTTGCAGAGCTTTTCGGATTTGAGTTCATGTGGGTCTCCCTGAAGGATGTTCCAGCCTTCAATGCCTGTTTGCGTCCCGCATAAGGCGACACCAAGATCTTC